TATTCTTTTTATGCTTTATCCTTATTGACAAGTAAACATGATATGACGTGGCAATACGTAACACCAACAAGTAACTGAATGATATACTCCCTTTCAAAAAACGAGAAAAGCGTCGGGTGCAGACCATACACCACAAGTGACGACCCCACAAAATGTAAATGTTTTCTGCCAATGAAATGATTAGCCTGTTGCAGTTGTATTCTATCAGTTGTCACTAATTACAACTATCATTTACCAAAAATCAGCTATCACTATGAACCACTACTAACCAGATTTACTTGGAGGCCGTCGTCACTTGTGGTGTATGGTCTGCACCCGACACTCTTCTCACTTTTTGAAGGGAGGATGAATGTAATAGGATGTAATAAAATCGATATGTCTATAAAGACAAGGAAATTAATTAATTATAAATTAATTTTATATTTTCATTTTCATTTTTTTATTTCATTAATTAATTATAAATTATTCTAAATATAAAATAAATGGATTCACTGAATAAGTGTGCGATGCATCGGTAAGTATGTATATTAAAATTAAATAAATTTGCTAAAAAAAGATATGTTTAGTTATGAAAATAACAAATAATAGTAATAAGTGAGATTGATTATAAAATAAGTTTAAAATAATTGTTATTGCCTTGAGACCCATAGGAAAGTATAATAAAAGAATCCAAATAATAAGTATAAATACCGGAATATGCAATAAGATGAGTAAAAATACGTATATAACAAATAATAGGTATAAATAATAATAATTACGAAAGCTCAATAAATATGTAGTTGTAGAAGGTGCCAACCTCCCGCGTCGAAGGAGCAAAATTACAAAATCGATTTTGAATATTCCGAAAATTTCTCGAATTCAAATGAATATTCGACCACCGATCGCCGACGATCGAGCGAGCACTCAATTTGTTCCGTTCATATCGCTTGCCTGTCACCAACACCACCGTTGATTTGATTATTACAATTGCAGCGCTATGACGACGATGAAATCCGTCCGTCTTATGAGAGCGATTATGAGATGGCTGATATGAATTGGCCGGATGCCAAGGAGAAATCGATAAGAAAATAACTAAGTCATCCACACATGTATACAAGGGGATAAGTAGCGTTAGGGTGGCGCGTTGGCCAATTTTTTCCACGGCAAGAAAAATTACAGGCGCCTCCCCTGAATAATTGAGGGCCTAAAGTACGGGGGTACGCGGATGATTATTGCTCTGCCGATTGAGCGGCGTGCTATGCCGAGCGTGTCATCACGATACTTTGTGGGCGACTTGAGGCGAGGCAGGGTATTAGAGCAGCGAAATCGAGAGCCTTGTAGTCAGGTTTTCAAGGTGAGCCGAGGGAACTCCGTCTTTTTGAAATATTGAATTCTAGAAGGGTGGGAAAACTAGTGAAACTGGCAAAATGAATTAAAGAACAATAAGTTGAAGAAGATGATTCGTCCGGTGATGATAAAGCCATTTATAGCGTGCGCCACACACTTCACTTCCATCCTCAAAATCGCAGTACCGTTTCGCTTCGACTTCAAGATGTGTACTGGCGCTAGGAAACCAACCTGTGGTATCGATCACCTGTCTTGGAGAAAGAGTGTGAGAGAAGTATCTGGGAAGAAATAATAAGTGAAACAATTAAGTACGCGCATTTTAAAGATTGTGATGTCGGATCATCAAAAAAAAATCGGTTAGCGTTCGAAAAGCAGTTAACTAGTAAGTATAATATTATTCACAGAACAATTATTTACATACAGACTGGACTGTCAGCAGTAAAGTCAATTTTAGCAGGGTAAAAAAAAGCGAAGTACTCGGAGGGTGCAGCTTAAACGGTTAAGGGATGAGCCACGGCTATGATTCTGTTCAATATTTTTAGGCCTACATATTCAAACAATTCAGACAATTTTAACAGAAACTAATCCATCAAGCTTTTTCACATCCACCAAGCGTATCAGCGAAGGAAACTCATAGAAAACCTATCCCAAACTTGCACCAAATAAAAGAGCCTATAATATTTAATACTGACTACAACAGTACATTCAATAGTAAGATGATACATATCATCTTCCCACGGGTCTTAATTGAATCCATAAGTTCATTTGAGAGAATGGCGTTAAAAATCTCTTCTGCAACTAGAAAAATCCGCAAATGATATTTCAAAATGAATGAGATTTTTTGAATCTTTTTAAAAATAAAAATAAAATAAAAGAATATTTTAGAAAATTATGTATCTCATAGTGAATAATTCTAGCGGGAAATAAAGATCAATTGCTAAACAATCTGTGGGGGATAAATGATCGGAAAACAAATTTTATTTTTGTCCAAATTCTACCGCATTTTTTGAGTGACTATTTGAAAAGAAACATATTTCATGATTACCAAGCAACTGTGAAAAGAAAAAAAAGAAAAAAAAAGAAACAATGGTCTAATTTGCTTCAGCTGGCTCATCGCTCTTGAAAGATAAGGGGATCTTGAGGACTTATTGAGCCTATTTGTAGCCAAAAATGCAGTTGTTGCTGGAATGTGGAGTGTTGATGCCGTTATCAAAGAAAAAACGGGTCAAGAAACACCACCCTCCATCCCCCCCCCCCTCCGGCCCGAGGAGGTATGTTGGCGTAGCGTGTCAAATGAAGCGAAGCTGAAAGTAATTAGAGGCGATGGATTGGAGACGGCGAGGCAACCAACGAGGAAAATGACTGGGGACAACGGAAGTTGAGGGAAGGAAACAAAAGAAAAGAAAAGATTGAATGGAGGAATTGGGGTCGGGCATAAAATATACGAGCAAAAATTGACTTTTTAACGGACGAAGAGGAACTCAACTCCGTTTTTTTTGAATGAGTCTGAAAACGAAGTTATGTGAAGGTCCTATAACAAATTTCAATTACAAAAGAAAACTAGAAATACAACTTGATAAAACTAGAAAAAAATATCAAACTATAGAAAACGTGGAATTCCAGCATAATCTGATGAAAGGATAAAATGCTTGAAAACACAAAAAAATAAATGAAGTAAATAACTTAATAAATTGAAAACCCGGCGTCGATCGATCATTTTTGGGATGAGCCACGCGCTTCACTCCCCACAAAATCTTAGCAGCGTTCGAAGCGTCTACACATCGATATGAGGAGGCCCACCAATGTGGAAACGTGCGTCTTCTTCCT